CTCCTCTCCCCCCACTCCACACACACAGACAGACACACATCCTCTTTTGCACTGTGTCACAGGATGGGGCAGGGGGAGGAAGATGGGTCTGCTCAGGGATTTTTAGGGTAGGGTGAAGTGCTATTTTTTAATCTGTGTAATGAGGGCAGGAGAGACACTCGATGTACCATGGGTGATTTCTTTTTTCCAAATAGGACTTAAAATAAATGTTGTATAAACAGAAAACATCAACAATTTGCTTTTTAGTCTTCCCCACATTAGAAAAGAATACCAGGCTTACCCATTATCTCTACTGGTCATCTGACAGACCATGTACCATAATCGAGTAGTCACAGCAGAGTGGGCATTCAGTGTTTTCACATAAAGCACATGTGAAACTTCTTCATTTGAACAAAGATACATACAAAATGTCATCACCTAGAATGACTGTCTCCAAAATAATGATAGATTTGGGTGTATATATGACACAAGAATAAGGGATTGAGTTACAGAAATCTAAGCAATTGAATTGAGGCTCCTTTTCTAAGTAACTCAGCCACTCCTCAAGGTGAAGTTTTAAAGGAATGTCAGAAGGACTACCCTGTTTTACTATCCTGTCCTAAAGACACCCTGTTGTAGAAGATAGGAGATGGCATCATTATGAAATGGAAATGCTTGCTCAGCCACGCATCAGAGCAATGCAGCTTAGAGTAAAATTGTACTTGCTAAAGCTTTGACCCACATTTGCTTCAAATACTTTCAGTATCTTTTTATTCATGATTCTTTTACTGAAAGGAAATTGATGCATTTTCCCATCTTATTTTCTGCACAAAAATCAAAATATGCTGAATGCCTTTATTTGTCATTAACACATATAGTGCTTCCTTTGCTATTCATCTTAATAACTGTAACTTTCGGAAGACTGTCTCATGTTTTCATTCTAGAATTTTTTTGGATTGATGACTTTGAGCTTGAAAGTGTAACCCCCCCACACACACCAAAAAGGAGGGCATTTTTCTCTAGTCAGACATACCTATTTCATCATAGTAAAAGATGAACCAAGAGGCATCATAGATTTCTTTATCAGTTTCTTCTGATGACAAGGTAGGTTTTTTATACATGCTGGGGATGCTTAGTTAATAGTCTGACAGCAGAAAAAGAGCACAGGAAGGAAGAATAGCTGCCTATTTGTGTTAGTTTGCTTAAGTAGATCACCCCTCTAATAAGTAAAGAGAATATTGAAATTGCTAATGTAAATTTTCCATAGATTTTTATTCTAGGCTTGTGGGGCTTTAACATGTATACACTATCATTATCTTGTTAAAAGTATTAAAAATATGAACCACAATAAAGACAAAGTCAGTGCTCAGGTTTGCCTTCACTGGCATTGAGAGAACAGTCTTAGAACAAACCTGTATTTTTGGAAGCAGCCTGTGTGTAGGCTTGGTTAGAGAGGCTGTTTGTCATAGCCTAAAGCCAACTAACCTGGTAATAAAATGCTGTTCATTTTCTATTATCCCTGACATTGTTTTGCTCAAAAGCATAGGAAGTAATTAAGAAGGAAAATGTCTTTCATCTTCAGAGGAACTTGGATGATGGCCATAAAAGGGCAAGGGTGGGTGCAGTTTGGTAGGAGTTCTGATAGGATATGGATTTTCAATATGCACAGTTCTACTTGTCAGCAAAAATAGGTCATTACAGTTTTCTGTGACGTTCATAACTAATTTAATGGAAGTCCTGATATAATATGCTATTTAACCCATATCCATTTTGTAATTGAAGTCTCAGCTCAAATGGTGACTGTGGCAATTTATTTTTATTTCCAAAATGGACTTTTTGACTTCGTACTGTGTTGCAAAGTCATTTACTCCTATAAATATGCATTTCATAAAGAAGTGCAGATTATTAAAAAATCAAATAAAACTATCAAAAAAGAAAAATATTTGCAATAATTGGGTCATCCATTATATAAGTTTTTCCTCCCAAAGGGTATGTTTATTTTTGAAAGCTTTTTTGTTGTGTGTTATCATACAAAGTATTTCAGATACAAGACAAAGCAACTAAACTTTTCAATTGATCATGAAATGGCCATGCTGTCTTTTGTGCTAGCACAGCCATGGGGTATTGGTGCCACTTGAAAGAACATTATACATTGCAAAAGATTCCAGAGACTACATGATATTTCTCTACATAGAGGATTACCCTTGGTGGCTTCCTTATAAAGCACTTTTTTTCATGATTCTTTTTAAAAAATGCAGCCAGCTTTTATCTCTGAAGCTAATTTGTAGACTTCTTTTGCAATTTTTGTTAGGTATAGTTTCATGTTGAGACTCCCAGCCTGCTTGCACCTTTCAGTTATCTAATTATAAAAGTAATATCTACCCAAGGAAACCAATACATACATGAAATTAGAATGAAGCCAAAAAATATTTTATTTTAATGGCTGCATTGTCCACATTCACTATTGGAGATTCATAATTTTCTTCTTGAAAGTCCTGTAATTAAAAAGTTGTTGCTGCTGAAATCTAAAACATTTGTGTCACCCTGTCCTCTATGACTATAATTCAGGAGCTGACAAAACATGAGATAAAAGTCAGTAAAAAGAGAATTATTTATTAAAAAGATCTAATGGTACAAGAACAGTACACAGGAACTATTATATTACTGTGTCTTCCACATCGTATATACCTTTATATATAGCATATATACAGATTGTATACCATATATCTAACATCTTGTTATGGTCCATGACAGTATCTTTCTTTTGGTCTGCAAAACAAAGTTTCTTTCTAATTATTTTTTCCAAAGAGATCTTGTGGCATTATACAAAAATACAGTCTCCTCAGTGATGCTAGACTGCACTATGACAATCTTTTACATGAAAAAGCTTTCCTTTGCGACTAAAAAAAAATATGTCATGATACGGAAACATCTTCTACAAAGGAACAAATAGGTAATACATACGTACTTAAACATTTAAAACATGTTTATTAATATATTTAAGATGCAAAATACATATTCTGTTCATGTTTAATATAAAACATACCCCTTTTTGTCCCTGCAATACAACTACGTTACTCGATGGTACGTTCAGTACTTCTATCTGGATCTTGATACTAGACATCAAGATATATAGAGATGCAGCTCTATCTCATCAGAATTTCATTCTTCTTACAAAGCATAGCCATTTATTGTATTGAGAAAGTTGTTCAACCAAAATATCACCAGCAGTGACTGTAGCGTTTTTGAATACCCTGAAATAAACTTACTTGGCAAGCAACTGTATAAAAAATAGAAGAAATTATGTTTAACTAATTTATAAAATACCCATTTTGCTTTTTGTTTCATCACTTTATTCTAGGTTTATTGAAACCTTTTGAAAAAAGATGGTTTGCTAATGCAAGTTCTCTGCACAGTAGCAATGCTGCTACTTTACAAATGACAGCACAGTTAGTTTCTATGAGTTTACTTTATCAGCATGAGTTCCACCTTTCCTTCTTTGATCTCAAAGGCTTTTCCAGAAGCAGTGATACAGAAGGTTTCCTCCTTCATGTATCTACAGTCTATGCTTGGCTAGCTATCCTGCCTTTGTTTTCCTAGCAACATGGTGACTAAGTAAATTTAAAATCTATTTTTTTATAAAATTATTTAAAGTACTAGTGGGTAATAAAGATTTGAGTTGAGAAATCTCTGAAAAATTTTGCTGATAAAATATTCAAAAGAAAAAAAATTTAGTCATCAGTCACCTCTTCACCTACCAAACACTTGATCTATGTTGCGTAACTTCCTTGGCTATTTTAAAGCTGCTAAGAAAGGACACAGTTAGAGTGTATTAGCTAAATACCAAGTATTATTTTGCTAGGGAATTGGAAAAACAATACAATTTTAGACCCACCAACCATCAGCCAAAGTAGATTTGCATCAAATCTTTCAGAGGGATAGACAGCTAGAGGAACTATGCCTCTCTTTATCTTGACTTGTTTAACTTGTCTGTTAAACTCTTTTGATGTGATTTTTCCCAGGCAAGGGGATGTTCATCCTAGGCATGATCCCTAGACACATGTTAGTAAAACACCTTCCCTCATAACACCATGCACACCATACTTGCACAAATAGACACACCATATACACTGGGTGTCATTTTGAGGCGCCAATATGCAGAAAAGCCTTCCAATGTAGAAAAAGTGTCTAAATTGTCTATTGAGTGAAAAAATGGTTTGGTACAGCAAAAAGTGGAAATTAAAACCAATAGCACACAGTTCCTACAAGAATCATCTCTAGTGAGCTATAGAAATAGAGCCAATTAGCTAACTAACTGGAATGATGCTCAGTAGCACTTATCCAGGAGTTGTTTTGGTTTTCTTTTTTTTTTTTTTTCAGACACAACATTGTGCAAAATACATCCTACTGGAATCTGTATATATGTGAATGGTTATGTTCCAAATAACATTAGTATTCTCTCCATAATATGCTTTCATATATACTTCAACTTTAATACCAAATATATAAATCACAGAATGTTACTAAAAGTTGGACCCAGAGGAAAAAAAAAAAAAGTTTAAACTGAGAAGTGGTTGGAAAAAGTAAGTTTATGCCCTTGCTTTGCTTTATTTGTCCACTTACCAGCCTAATGTATATCATGTTTGAATGTCCAGTGGAGTTTTCATTGTCATATGCATTAGGAATTGATTTTTTATTTTCTATTGAAAATAAGTATTTCATTCATTTAACATTAAATCATGTGGTATTTGATGCAAACCACACTTTTTTCTTTTTAAGTTTGTGTTTAATAATTTTCCGTTTACTTTGCAATAAAATAAATGGCTTCTTTTCTGCTCCAGTCTGTCACTTTCTGAGTGTGCTGTCTAGTATTTTATTGACAATTTTTTTTTCCAATTAAATAAATATTCATACATTTTCAGAAAAAAATCTCTGTACTTTTGTAGTGGGCTGTGTATCTAAACTATTTTTTTCACACCTGTCATTAGGAACAGCCAGCCATACGGGATGCAAGAAAGGTATTCGACAAAACAGTATCAAACTTTGTTCTCTATTTAAAAAAGTATTTTTTCTCAAACCAAACAGATGTACTGTACTAGACAACACTGTTTGAACATCTAATGATACATGACTGGGGTCACCAAAATCAAACATATAAAAAAAGTAAAGTACGTTTGACAGAAATTACGTTTGCTTACAAAAGTTTATTACATACAATCTGCATATTTTTGGGCCAAGAAGTGTCCCCACCCTAGAGGACTTTTACAAAAAATGAAGAGAAAAAAACCTGATGAATTACTGACCATGTCTCCAACACTCCTCTAAGTGCACCACAGGCATTTCTAAGGGTCTTTAAGCATTAGCTTGCATTTTGAGTTTCTCCCTGGACATAAAATTCCATCCCATGGTGTCATCAAGCTAAAGCAAAGAAACAACAACAGTCTGCAGTCTTCACCATGAGGTTGAAGGAACCATCAGTGCCAAAAGCAATGTTACAGAAGGCAAGAAGGTAGACAACACATGTAAGGTGGATTGAGCACTTGTTACTTTCCCTCCTGAAATGAAAAGGAAAGTACTTGAAGAAGAAACGATGCAAATGGTTCTCAGTACATTTAGGTAGTAGATTTTGCCTCAAACTTGTATTCTGTTACGCTCAATAAATATCTAACTTTTGTGAGAACTTCTATCACAAAATAGACTGCCTATGAGACATAAGGAAATTGGGGATTTTATGATAATATCTACAGCACCTCACATGCTGAATCACCATATTCAGTCTGCAAATAAATAGGAAATTCCAAAAGGGTATGTGGGTTTGTGCCTTGAACCTCAAAAACAATTAGGCTGCTGAGGATGACCTGAGTCACAATCACAAATGTTCTTCCTGGAACAGGGAATAAAAGCTAGACCTTGATCTTGATGATTATCCAGAGGAAAAAAAGTGATCTTTTGCTCAGTTGTACAGTGATGTTTTTTTGATCACAGCTGTTCCTTAAAAAGCTATGCTAAGAGAACACGTGCTATGAGCTGGCAGTGGCAACAGATTACATGATGGGAAGGGAACCAGACTGGGTTCTTTGGACCACAGTTGTCTTAAGTGAAACTTATCTGTTGTGCATAGTCTAATCAAAAATATCAGGTTAGAGGGAATGAAAGATTTTGTGGCCTAGAGTTATGGCTCAAAAAAACCATGAAACAAATATTCTATGGAGGAATGGTGTTGTCTTCTGAATTCTGATGACATCACTGTAGTTTGTGACTAGACTAGAGCTCAAATTTTAGGTCTCATTGAAGTTTCTGGCTCCCAGATTTTGAATAGTAGTCCTTAAGGACTAAAAAGCAATGTTTAGTAGAATTTTAAAGTGTTAGCCAAAAGTTAGAATTAAGATGCCTCGTTGTGTTTAGGGAAAAGACAATGTTATTTTCTGGTTGTTCTTGCCACTATTCCTTCCATGCTTTTCTTGCCTGTGTAATATCGATACTTTAAATTATTTGAACATATTGCACTTACTGAGGAAATAGAAGCTAGACATCATAATTTACTTCATGATAATATATAATATTATAATTTGTTAATAATTTAATAAAGTAATACCTACTTAAGGGCATCAATGGGATCTACAGAGAAATTCAGCTTCTTCTAAAGCAGTTACATACACAGGGTTCACCTATGTAAATGCATACCATTTTAGCTCTGTTAAAGAGTACACCTCTGGCTGATGGTCCAGAATGATGTGTGCATCCTCTAAGTCCCACATCATATCTCTCAAGTCTGTGCAAATGTTTGGGATACCTCAGGACATATCAGATGTGCCTATGTCTAAATATTTAATTCAGAAGGTCAGCTGAATTGCTGTCTATCCTCCACCATCAGTCTGTATGGATTACATCTCAGCTGATTATAATGGACTATAATGGTGTTTGAGACACCCAGTGCATATGTAGACACCTACGGCTCAATTAGGCTTCCAGATGTCCTAAAAAAGTATTGGTTTCCTGTAAATCCTCTCCTTAGTTCATCAGTCCCACATGGATGCCTCTGATACTCTTGAGCATCTCAAATGGTATTAGATACCTTTATTTCTTCATAGAATTGAAGACTCTGATTAATGATTTTATCTAATAGCTAGAGAATTGTGAGAACATTCTTTTAAGGTATAGAATAATAGATTTAATGAGCATTACTATAATCAGTCTTCCAGAGAGAAGTGTAACCTTACCTGAAAAAGATGGAACTCTGATCTGGGGACTCGCAGTCCCATCCCCTCCTTCACTGACTGCACAGACTTCAATGATGTAGACACCAACATCAGGAAGAAGTACCACTGCAGAGGTTTTCTGTGTTTCTATAACTTGACTGTTGCTCTGGCCTTCTTGCCTAAATAACACCTACGGTCAATAAAGTAGATAGTGGTCATAGTGGTCATTCAAGTTATATACCAGACATTTTGTGTGGGCAACTCAGTCACTGAAATGTTAACTGTTTCATGCTTTCATTTAGAATTTTTTGACATTACATTTGAACATTCATCTGCTTTTATCTCCCCTACCCCCAGTGGCTTCAAAACATAAATTGCAAAGTAAATTAGCAATTAATGAATGTGATAGAACAATGATTATGGTCCAGAGCGAAGCCAGAGCATTTGCCCTCTCCATCATCAGGTGTGTCACAATGTTTTCTTCAAAATTTCTTCAAAATGCATTTTGGGTTTCATTTGATATAAATTCTTATCCCTCAATTCATGTAGATATTCACATTTTTGGCCCAAGAACCCCACTTCAAATGTAAAAATACCCCTAAATACTCTCTTGTGTGTTTGCCTCAGCTGGCTAAGTCAACCGAGAATAGTACAGATCTGCCCTTACATCTCCTGTGAAACTCTGTAGAAACTTCTGGTGCATGGGAGGAAAGCAAGTGAGTACAAAGCTGTCTTTTTGGTACTTCTGTGTAAGAGTTTCTGTTCCCAGACAAAACTGAAGAGGCCAGAGATGTGTAAAAAACTGAAGTAGTCAACGTTTTCAGAATCTCAACTAATCTGATAGAGCAGTTTCTGGTTTATTTGAACCATTTTACACTTTATCAGTGATATTTCCTGATGTATCAGAGAATATCAGATTGTAGTCTATAGAAATGGTCATACGTATGATTCAAAAAAACCCTAACCCACACTTCTGTAAAACCACTAAAATTATTCTGCTTTGATTTAAAAGATTGCACTGAATTCCACTGCTTTTTATGACTTGCTATTTAAGAGTTAATCTGGATTCTATTCTTTTAAACTTCAAAACTTTAAATGCCAGATGTTACGAACACTGATTGTTGAACATCACCAGTGTGTTCACAAAACAAACTGAAGTTTTTGTACTTATGCTCCAAAAAATATTAATTTTAATGTCATTTTAAGACACCTCATTCTTTGGCATTTCTCTAAATCCTACTGCAAACACAGTTAAATTGAAGTGTTAGGAGGAATTTCATTGCAGGCTGGCCTTATTAATAGCCTTTTCTGAGTCACATATGATGAACTGATCCCCTCAGATAGAGCTTACTCAGTTCGTAATCAGCAGCTGAAAGTCATAGCACAGAAAATGTTGGGATATTTTGCTCTTTTCAATTTTATTTATTGCTTTTCATGGTGAAAACTGATTGCAGACAGTCTGTATAGCATACTTCATTTACACAGAAAAACAAGAAAGGGGGAAAAGCCAGCAAGGAAGAGGAGTAGTCGTTTGGAAGAGAGAAAGGTGAGCAAAGAAGGGGAAACACTGACCTTGTATCCCATTACATCGGATTCATTAGCTAGAGGTCTGACTGGCTCCCACCCAAGAGACACATGAGAGCCATCCTGTATCCACATAATATTGCTTGGTGGTTGGCTGGGAGCTGAAGAGGAAAAATAACATGTGCATAAATATATTTAATATGTAGTTTATTTAAAATTAAAAGTATTTATAGCTTTCATTATATTTACAATTGTTTGTGTTAGCAGGCTCCCACCTCTAGCTGGAATTTTTAAAGATCTTTTTTTTCACCAGGAATTATAATTTAATAGATTGTGGTGAATTTACTCAGCCCACCCCATAAACTCCACAGAGCTTATGGTCTTGAACTCTTCTTTCCCTTTTTTGTCAAAAATGCCTTATTCTGGGAACATAACCTTTGTTATGAATGCAAAATCATCTGAATTCATGTCTAAATATCAAAGCAAAGCCATGAATCAAAACTATACATGATTCTTGACTATTATACACTCTTATTAAAGGAAAACTGGAGAGGACAGAGGCTGCTTCCTGACTTCTCCTTTTGAGCAAAGGTACTGAGATCACTTACGGGACTTCTTGGTTGCTGCACGCACAGCAGTGCTAGGGGGTCCATATCCTGCAGCATTGTATGCCCTCACCGTTAGGTGATATAATGTATTTCCTTCTAATCCTGTCAAGAGGATGGACGATTCATTTCCCTCAGTTTTGACCTTTTCTGCTGCTTCTTCCTGCTCCATGTCCTTCCAGTAACCAACCTGCCAACAAATGACCAAATGAAGGATTAATATAGGTATCAGGGAAGTTCATACTTCCAAATGTTCATACTTGTTATCCTGTGGAGGTTTTTTTTTACATTTCTGCCTTTCGTCATTCTGCTTTCATGTCATTTCTGCCTTTTGATCATCAGACCTTTTTAAACATGTGGGAATTGCAGCCTAACCTTGGAGACAAGCAACGCTCACTTCTCCAACATGGTGAGACTCACAATATTACAGCATTACCTGAAGCACCTTTAATTGCTGTGTATTGCACAAGAAGATATAACTACAAGGTGGAAGAGCAGAGGATGAACATTGTTAGCGAGTCAAAAGTATTTCACAGGATTCAAGGAGAGCTCATCATCTGGTAGGTCACGAGAATATTTAACTTCACCATGGAAAGCTCTGACTGTGTCAGTTAGGAAATGGTATGAGCAATATTCTCTTCCTGGCTCTCAGCAACTCAGAGCCACAAGATTTCTTATCAGCATGCTGAATGGGAAATGGCAGAACACCGAAGGAAATCTTTCATTCATTTGAAAAATCTCATCTGAAGAAAAAGAAGGAAGTAGATTCAGTTTTAGTTCTTGGATATAAGCAGGTTTCTGATAAATGTAATTTTGAGAGTATGTTTATGCTCCTTCCTGTGAGACATAAAACCCCTAAGTGACCTTTAGTTGTTCCTAGTCCATATTTAGTTGTTTCCTAGTCCAGATATTCTGTTATCTGCACTGAGTTTATCATAATCTCAAAGAGGTTATAGATCTGAGCTAGAAATTTGACTATTGTCTTTCATCAGGGACCAAGTATTTGCAGGGCATAACTGGAAAAAAAGCAGTACTGTCTCTTTTTTATGTATCTAGGTGACCTACACAAATCAGGTAATTCTCATGGGACCCTATTTTCCCTAACAGGAGTTGTCACTGATGTGCCATTCAAAGACCTGTTCAGCTTACTGCTATTCATGCTGAGACCTACTTGCATTTATTCCACATTTTGACCTTTTCTGTGAAGTTTGTTATTTCATAATAAGTTATTCATATTATATCTGGATAACTTTTCCTCTGAGAAAAAAGGTCATGGACAATACAGCACTCCTGTGAATGTATCGCAGAAAATAGTGAACCAAAAAAAACCAAGGGGTTCGTAGGAAAATGAGGCCAGTGAGTACAATCCTGACCTTTTATAATTGCAGTAGGACTGCCATTAAAAAAAAAAAAAAAAAAAGTGGAAAGACCTGGTTGCAAAAATATACGTTTGAGGTCATATCTTCTTTTGAGTAAAGTGGCTCTGTTAACTTTGATCGGGGTTCTATCAGTCTGTGCCAACTCAAAGTCTACTCTTTCAATTGTAAAATTAATGTAAACATTGTTTTTCATGTGCCTGCATTATCTCATGTTAAAATTCCTTTGCTTTAATTCGTAGGTTAATTACAGCTCAGACAGCAAATCTAGCTGTACTCACCACTTGTTGAAATGTGTGATTCACTGAGGTATTTGGCTAGCTGAATGTTTGACCAACCTTAACCAAATAATACCTAGTCAATTCTTTCTTGGAAAGAAAAAAGAATCAACAACCATTTATTAACACATTATGATTGAACCTCTAATGCTTATTATCTCTGGGCAGTCAGATTCCTTTCATTTTAATTGCAATGCATCTTTACAGGCCTGACACTGCAGTGATGAGTTCTACATAGTATTAAGCACTGTACGAACAGTAGTGGGAGACAGCACTTGTCCTGAAGGCTCTATTATCCAGTTAGTGAATTCTGCTGAAGATCTAACAGGGAAATGGTCAGAAAGGAAAAGTGACTTGCCCAAGGTTACACAGGTAGACAGTAGCAGGGGTGGAAATGCAACTGAAGTAGTGAAATCCTGGTTCTAGAAAGCCAGGAGCAAGATTATAAGTAGCTCAGTAAGACTCTTATGTGAATGCAAGGTACAAGACAAGTGACAGCCTCCAGCATTTGCACTGAAGCTATTTTTTTTTTTAGTATAAAGAAGTTGTGAAAACCTGACTTCCCAAAAACTGGTGCTAGGACCACATAGATATTAAAACCTGATGAGTGTGGAAGAAAGCTAGGAGCATAATCAGCTCTTATGATATTTTTCATGTGTTTGGAAATGCTCTTCACTGCTGCTTATATGGCATTATCAGTTTGGATACTAATTATATTTTGCATGTTCAGTCTGCAAAATTTAACCATGGCATGTTCCCTACCAGTTCTGCTGCACCACATGGCAAAGGTGTTCCCTCCTGGCAAAGGGGTGTCCTTTGGGGAATGAATATACTGTGTTGAGCACCAAAAACATAAAATGCAATTTGGCAATGCTTGTATTTCGATTTCTTATGTACTTCAAAGACCTTAAGTATTTGGTCCCTGCTTTTAAAATTCCCCTTTAAGTGTTACCCTGTGCATTTGGACTTTGATCTCAAAAGATGCTTTTCTCTTTCTTTTGTAATGCACACATCCATTTGCGGATAGAAAAAGTGGTTATAGAAAAAAAGAACTTCAATAACTGTTGACTGAGGTCGATGGTGAGGGAACATATGTCGATTTGAACCGAAATTAAGATACTGCTGATGTTTAAAAGTGCTGGGTATATTTTTTAAAACAGAGGGTTTGTTTGTTTACACTTCTCTGTGTTATTTTTTTTTTAATCTTGCTATTTTTAATAACCTTAATATATACTGCTCAGAAGGGATTTACCACACAGAGTAGGTTTTCATTAATGCTAACTTGGAATATTGATATAGCATGAAGCATAAATCACAGAAGAGTAGAGCATATTTAAAAAATGTGCTCTCTTAAAAGCACATTTAAAAAGGGGTGAAAAAAAGCATTTGGTTTGTTTAATGCATTAATATTTGTGATATTTTAAAATTTGCTGGGCTAGCCAAAGAATAATAAGCTTTGATATCTTGTTCCCAGCAACCCATTTCGTTCAGATGGAGAAGACTCGACGATATTTAAACAACTGAATTGAGGAGCTGCAGGAATGTGCAACCTGCTTTGTCCTGATTATGAGTTAAGCAATCATTAAAAGTAAATCACTGCATTAAAAATTTGTTTCCACCTAAAAGTTTCCTATCTCTAATACTTACAGACCACTACCTTGAAATTTTAGCTTAAAAGGTGTCTTAAATAATATTAGTCTTTTTCCTGAATTGGTTTCTAGCATTTGCATACTTTGGTATTAATTAATCTGTTGTAATTGCAGGCCCTCTTCTCTAAATTCAGTAAAGACAGAGTTACTGCCTGGATACTTTTTCTGCTGGCCACAGAGAATTAAAGCTCCAAATTAGGCATGTCAAATAAGAGCCTAAATTAGGTAGGGTGAATCAAAGCAGACAAAACACACAAACACAAAACACAAACTGGGCTCTGTGAGTGAGTATTTACCAACATCAACAGTACCAACATAACTGAGAATTAACTTGAAGAGATCTCATTGTACAGAAGGCGCTAGGGGAGACAGAGAAGTGAGCTGAATGAACTGCTGCTAGCCCTCAAAAAACAACACACTATGCTTCAGATTTCATAAAAAATATTTTAATTATCATTATTATTAGAAAACTTATCAGTGCCTTGAACTAGCACTTGGAAGTCATGCAAAAGTTAGTGCAACAGTATAACCAAGCACTCAGGGCTTTTTGTATCATCTCAAGATATTTATGTGACTGTCCTTCAGAACAAGATGCTCCTGCAAAAGGGTCAATCAACCTCAGTTACTTCCATCTCACCAAAACAATTTCTGACTGAAAGAAGAAAGGAAATACTGTTCAGAACTCCTAGGTTCTGGGGTCTTCTCTGGAGTAGCTCGCATCCTTCTCCTCTTTCCTCAGGTACGCACTTCTCCCACACAGACTTGCATACACATGGGACAAAACATGATATTGCACCTCAACCTTGAGGACTATCATCAAATATCTAGCAATATTTACTTATGAAAAATCAATAATTATCTAGGATTCTTATTTTAGGTAGTTTAGTCTTGTAACAAACTATTAATGATACAGTCATTGTATAGCTCTCTTGAGCCCCTCATGAGAGGTCTATGGTGTGATCCATACCTTAGGGGTTTGAAAAACTGTAGTACTGGTCTGATACAAACTCTGCTTAGAGTCTTCAGGATTTTAGAGGGATTTGAATCAGCACAGGAATAACTTTGTAGGCAAAATTAACTTATTATCCAATTTCTAATTTTGTGTTGGGGAAATTTCATTTATTCCAAAAATGAAATCTGGTAAATTAGTATTCAGGCTAGTGAAAACCCATTTCCTCGTTTTTCAGTCTTGCTTTACCACCCTCTGGTAGAAACATCCATATATTCTTTCTAAATTACTTCAAGGTAAACTTCACTGAATTTAAAAAAAAAAAAATCCAGGATCATGTAGACATAATTTTCTTTTCTGCTGTAAAAACTGATAAAGTATACCTAAGTACATCTTAGTACACATAAGTAAATCTAAGAAACAGTGAAAACTTGATTATAGTTATTGCTTATAGTCTAAGCTTAACTTAATAATTAATTAACTTAATTAACTTGAGTTACATTAGGTCAAGAGGATTGCTTGGCTTATATTATGTCAAGTAATCCTCTCTGAATATGGCATTAAAGGTTTTCTATTTTTTTGTATTTTTTTTGTTGCAAGTGGCTCTTTTGATTAGATTAGTCAAGTTCTTATTCCTTGGGTGAATTCCAGTGAAAAAACCCATGAGCTTTGTGATCTGTGTTTAAGTATTATCCTTGTTTTTCTGGAAAATAAAAAAGAATATTATCTTCTAGCCAGAAATTCTTTCTCTCTCCCTTCCCTACCAGTAGCGAGTGACAAAGAAAATATTGCCTAGGGCTGAAATAGATTTTATAACCTTCAGTTTATGGATTCTAAACAATAAGTATGAACCACACACTGTATTTTTCTACCATTCTGACAAAGTTTTCAAGCTACTTTATCAGAGTGTAGCTGGCATATATTTAGTAAGGTCAGGCGGACAGCTGACAAATCTGTACTGAAGTCAGGAGTAATATGTGCTTTGGAAGATGCAAATGAGTAGAGCAAACCTTGCATAAAACTCATGTGACATAACAGTTAACACGGCCTTTCAGGGATGACAATGTGAAATTGGACAAGTTACTTTGCCTTTCATTACTCCTTAGTACAAAGTGCAAACAGGGCCAGAGTGAAACTGGGTCACTGCAAACTTGTCCATATGTAGTAAATATTCTGTCACTTTTGTTGATTAGAGACCAAGCATTCACATGCTAAAAAATAGCTTCCCCTTTTATAATGCTATTACTGAAAGGCCAGGAAATGTGAAGACGATGTAGGTGGTTGTCACTGCTGTGGTGCCTGCAGGCAGAATCTCAATTGAGAGATGAAAACAGAGTGGCTAGTTAGATTATTTTGCATTAGATTTTAATTGAAAGCAAAATTTTACTTGTGCTCCACAATAATTCTATGTTAGGAAATAATTGTTAAAGAAAAAAGATAAATCAATCATCTTTTTATCAAAATCACTGGATATCTGTACATTATCTACTTGCTATACATAGATTAAGGGGGCAGTACAGACTATGTACTGCACTGTACTACACATGATAAAACTTCCATGGTTTCTAAATTAAAATAGTGTTCACAGACACTGAAGAAAGTGAACCATATGGAAACAAAGCTGCTCCATACTTTCAGGGTTTTTGTAAGGGAGTTTATCCCCTGTGTCTTGCTATACAGAGACCTTCCTTTTTGCACTGAGGGAATACTTTAAAGACAAACTCTCAGTATGTTAGTAAAATTGGGCTGGTGTTTTAACACTGCAGTGCACTGGTTCACAATCATGTCCTGTAAGTCACTGTATTGGGTTTGTGTGGCAAGGTTTTGATAGCAGGTGGCTACAGGGGTGGCTTCTTTCAGAAGTTGCTAGAAGCTTCCCCTGTGTCCAACAGAGCCAATGCCAGCCAGCTCCAAGATGGTCCGGCTGCTGGCCAAGGCAGCCCAAGGAGGACCCCACGCTGGAGCAGGGGATGCCCCCCCATGGGCAGCCTGTGCTGGAGCATGCTTCTCCTGAAGGACTGCACCCCATGGAAGGGACCCCATGCTGGAGCAGATCATGAAGAACTGTAGCCCATGGGAAAGACCCACACTGAAGAAGTTAATGGAGGACTGCCTCCCATGGGAGTGATCCCATGCTGGAGCAGGGGTGCATGGAGTGTGAGGAGTCCTCCCCGTGAGGAGGAAGGAGCAGCAGAGACAACGTGTGATGAACAGACCACAAGCCCCATTCCATGTTCCCCTGTGATGCTGGTGGGGAGGAGGTAGAGAAATTGGAAGCAAAACGGAGCCTGGGAAGAAGGGAGGGGTAGGGGGAAGGCATTTTAGGATTTTGTTTTATTTCTCATTGCCCTACTCTGATTTCATAGACAATAAATTAAACTAATTCCCCAAGTCAAGTCTGTTTTGCCCATGATGGTAATTGGTTAGTGACCCATCCCTGTCCTTGTCTCAACACATGAGGCTTTCCTTTTATTTTCCTTCTCCTGTCCTGATGAAGAGGGGAGTGATAGCATGGCTTGGTGGGCACCTGGCTTCCAGCCAGTGTCAACCTACCACAGTCCTTATCTCTTTTTTGATTACATCCTTCCCAAAAATGGAACCAAAAAGGTCTAGCAATACTGTTCTTGGAGTGCATTCTGTCCTGCTTTTTTTTATGCAGGAGAGCAGCATTTGCTCTCCTGTTTATTGAGTAAGGGCTGCTCTGATCACGGTTCCTCCTGGGAATGAGGATGGAAAAGTGCAAACTTTTTCCTGAAAGATTTGTCTGTCAGAAAGCAGGAAAGGAAATTCAGGCTAAATGAACAAAGGAGAAAGGTAGTAGGGAACAGCCCTCCTCTCTCCAAAGAAAAGTACTTGCATCCAAAAGGTCCTCTATTTCATCATTAGCTGATGTAGAAAGGATCAGGGAATTATTTTTATATTTAATTTTTGTGTTCTGTCAACTGGAGGTCACTGGCTTGAAGTACTTAATCTGTAATCTTCATGTTAGAATCCTAGAATTGGTGTAATTGGAGAAGCCAAGTAATAAGTTTCAATGTTAATAACCCCTGCTGTATCAATAAAAATTTTCAAATTAATTCCTAAGTAGTCTATGAGAGAAGCAGAGCATGTGACTCTTGCTGTTGGAGTCAGAGTATGCTTAGTTCTGATATTCTAGACATTTCCCAGGACAGGAAGACCATCGCTGGTATGAAAAGAGCCCACTGTCCTACCTGTAACAGCCACTTACCACTGGGACACATCTGTAAAGCTAAGGGAAGTGTTATGTGACAAGCAGGCAAATGCAAAATACATTCAAGTTATGAAAGAATAAATTTCCAGAGAAATAATTTTCTGTTTTGGAATAAATTCTATATTTATATTTTTAAAATATCAAAACCAAAGAATATGTCAAGCATTTTATAAATCAATATGATCTATGGAATGAGGATAAGAGTAAAAATAGTAGGTGTAATTTAACAGACGTCAAGATATCTGAGAGGGTGCAACAAAACAGCCACCTTTCTGAAGAGAAAAAGACAGGGTGCAGTGAGTAAGTTATTTCAGAGGATAAAAGACTGGCCTGGAAATTGAAAACATAGGTTAGTAGCAAGTGGAACACTTCAGGGATAGCATTTGCAAGGTTTATTTCATCTGTATCGGGTCTAGTTTTTTTCTCTTTATATGTAGCAGTTCTCTTTATATAAACAGCTGTTCTAAAGATAAAATAGTTAGAGATCACTTTTTCTGCACGAAGCAAGCTATGTGCAAAGAGACAAAAAGATGTTTAACGTAAAGAAGAAGTGGGGGTAAAGTAGAAGAGAGTGTGGACAATTTGGCTTGGAGACCTGTATGGGAAGGAGACCTGGATAAATGAGAGACCTGAGGGGACACAACATGCTCACAGCCTGCTTGGACTCCACTGGAGAACAATATAGGAGTATCAAAGTATCAAGAAGGTACAGCAAACCAGGTAAAAAACATACTAACTGATTGTGTCTGAGGTAACCATGCCATCCTGGTCAAGGCCAATCTGGCTGAGGCCATGCTGGAGAGCATGGAGTGGTGCCTCTGCTGCTGCCTGGGCACTTACGTTTCCTTCCAGACCATCGGTGATGGTCAACACCCTCCAGATCTTGTCTGGAGATGCTGCCAGGGAGACAGTGTGTGCTAGTAGGTCACAAGATGTCTTTAGATGTCTTAACATTGATATCTGCCCCAGTTCTACTCATTTATCCTCTTTTCATTGTTAGTGCAGAGAATCAGGAAAGAGTCAGCACTCCTTGTCTAAAGGACTAAAGCAGGTGAAATAACCTGAACCCCAAATTTAGTAACTTGCTGTTTCATAAGAAGCAGCATAGCCTTAACCACAAGGTCAAGATGGTAGTCCCAGACGATAGGTTTAGTCCTAGTCTGGTCTGTTTCTGGGGGTTTGGATTGTAAACTACACACAAAGCTACAATGGGATCCAAAAGCATGCGAAGGCCCGTTGCCAGGGCCGGTTCTCTTCCCCAGGTCAGGAAGGGCTGTCTTTAGGCAGAGGTTTATTTGTGGATGGTGCGGCTGCTGCTTCCCCTCCTGACATCCGACCCTTGATGAGCTGCCCAGCAGATGTCCCCCGGCCACCACAGGATGAGAGCACAGGGGTGGCAGAGGCGCTTTCCTTTCTCTGCGCTGATTGCTCTCAGCAAATAACAAGTTTGAACTGGTCACTGAGAGCTGGAAACAGTCAATACCTAATCTTCCCCAGCCAGTGAAGGAGGCATGCTGGGTCACTCGCCGTTCTTTCAGCTCTTTTTGAAGTGTCAAAGAGATGTTATAAGAACTGGTGTTGAACAGTTTTCAAGCCCAAATAAATAAAAGATGTGCCGGTGTTACAGCTGTGACCGTTGTTCTACAGCTAGTCGGATGTATACTAAACCAAGCATCATTCTACTGAGGTTTCACTACTGTGCATATTAACAGAATGCAATGCTAGCAAAAGCAAAAAGACTTCTCATTATGATATTCTGTGTTCATACCTCAAATCCCTGTGGTCTTCCTAGACTTTCTTTAATATGTTTCCACACAACCAGAATCTCCGATACAGACAAACTTGTAGCTTTGACATCGACGGGAGCAGCAGTGGGTTCTGTATTAAGAAAAATTGAAACAATAAACCTCCACTCTAACAACTTGTATTTATCAAAACCACTCCATCTCAAACTGTCATTTACTTCCTTTATTCTACCTTAATACTCACAAATAGGTATGACACTTGTGGGGAACATGAAAAACTGAACAAGATGAAGAGATTATTATTGTTGTATTTCTTTATTAGTGGCATGCCACATCAGTATCTCATCACTGATGACAGAAACAGCAAACTGTGACGGAATCTCGTCTTTGATTTAAAAAAACCACCTTTAATATTTGTAAATGCCCCCTCCCCCCCCTTTCATAACCTCATTCAGCCTAACTTCAGCAGTAAATTGAGCATTCATTCACTTCCTGGCTTTTAGTGCCATTCTGTCAGCTCAGGATGAGCAATACCTTGCCGGGATGCTCAGTCAGTCCTGCTCCAGGGTTATACTGAGTAAGAAGTGATAGCCAGAGCTTTAGTGAAATGCTACATAAAACCCCCAAAACTTAGGGCTATGTTACTGTGTTCTTGAAGTCCCAGGCACCAGTGTTTGGCATAAATGCTGTGAAGCATTTACCGTTTTATGCCTGGAACGCACACTTTTTTAAAGAAGTCATTAAGACAGGATTTGTCCCTCTCATTACCTTTATTGGTACTCTGTTCCGTTTTTCTATCTCCATGCTATCCATAGGACACTGCAGTTCTGCCCTCCTGATTATTCGGAGCCGAGGACCCTCCTGCCCCCCAGCCAGGGTGGGTGTCCTTCAGTGCTGCCGGGGTCAGCCCAGGGTGCACACAGGGGGCTTAGGGCTGCAGGGGGCACCTGCCCAACAGGGTTTCACAGGCACCTTTTACTTTGTGCTTTCATATCACTGAACACAGAGGTCCAGCTTCTTTCAGTGGCTGGGAAGTTGGGTAAATGTACACAGAGATCTGCCACGACAGGCCATGGAGCACACCACCAATTTGTATCACCACCTGGTGCACTGAGAGTGTCAAAAGATTGTCACATATCAGACTGAGACATGAGTTAAGGAAATCTTTCAGATCACTTGCTTTGATACCTAAATATTACTGAAAATTTGCTTAAGACAAGCTGTGGAGACAAGGCTTGAACACAGTGAAGCAAACGCTGACGGCATTTCTCCACCATTCTGGTGCAGTTCATGCTCACTAAAAAGGTGAATTCACATTCCCCTGCAGTCGCAGACCCTGTAATTTCTTCTGTGTGCTACTATTCCTCATTACATTTCTAAGGTGTTGATCTGCACTTGAAGGGCAGGCAGAGGTCTTGGCTTTTATGTCATAGGGAGGCACATCAAAGAGTTTTCTAAAAACCCCCTTTTTTTGGGAGACATTTAACAGGCTTACAAAAAAGGCGTTTCCTTATGGAAGAGCCTGAATTAAAATGATACATTCTTCTCAGTGATCAAACTGCCTTAGTAAGATGCCCAGTATCAGTCTTGACTCATTAGCTACCCTCCTTCCTCTGATCATATCGCAGGCATTGTTCTGGCACTGCTGCCCTACGCTTTCTCTTTGACATGGCTTGTACAAATTTTTCATGCTTTTTGATGTCAGATATTTAATGTTTGCTGCTTTTTAATCTTTTTTGTTTACTTCTATAGAAAAGAAGCACTTCTGATGTGATGCAAATTGGTCTTTGTCCACAATAAGTACTACTAACATATAATATATAATATACTAATATATAGTATAAATTGCA